AAATTGTATTCAAATGTTTTGCAAGCATATTTAAAACATTTAGTCAAAAAAGTATCGGTAATAATTATAATTAACTTGAAAATTGGCAAAGGGTTGGCAAAATTGTAAGCTCTGATGATGATAACAATCTCGAGAAGTACTTGCGAAAAGTTCTTAGTTTATGCTCTGCTCGAATTCGTTTTTGCGCATTTTTTTTTTGGATTCTAACCAAATTTTATATACATAGACAACTTCCCCGATAATAGTACTGTAGGGCAAAGGAGGACGTCCATGACTATAAAGTTAGTTTTGTTGCTCTTTCTTGGAATGTTTGTAGGGTTGGGAGTGTTCGAAAGCTGTCGTTTAAGTTAGAGGACGATTAGCTTAGCGTACAACGTATGTTGGAGTGTTGCAGAGTTGAGAATCGACGATGATTTAGCGTAGATTGGAATGCATTTCTTACGTAAGGAGTTTTTGGCGTTTTTTCTATTTTTCCCTCTTAAAGTGTATTCCTCAAGAGTCAAATTGTCGAACGATCATCCGTGAAAAGCAACTCCCTATTTATTGTTATCAAACAAGAGAGTCGGATTTAAACCAAGCTAAGCTTTCTCGTAACTCAAATAGGATATGAATTGAGTTGAATTTTGAAAATCATTAAAATTTTCAATAAATTTTTTTATTGGGTTTATTTTTAAAATTTTCCAATAGAGAGCGAAGTTATATCATTTCAATCTCGCTCTTCCCCACCAGTTAATAACAATATCGTTAAACAAATGCCTATACATATGCGTTTAAATATTTTTCTAATAAATTCTTCATGAAAATGAGATAACGAAATAATTGGAGAAATTTAAACGATGAAGGGAAAGAAAGTTAATTATGTTATTATTATTTTGATGATAAATTCTTTTCATATGCTTTGAATATTTTATTTAATTTATATTAAAATTATTTTGCATCTATAAACACAAATTATACGAATTACACGAACATATATATATACATATATATATATATATATATATATATACATCTATATCTATAGATATATGTATGCACAGATACATATATACAGTTTATTTAATTGAAAGCAAAACGTCGTGCCTTCGTTATCTTCATTTCTTCATTTCTCTCATGCTTATTGGATACACGACGCTTTAGCAATAATTACTACCAAGATATTCAACTTTGTAATTGATTCTATTATCGAAGTCTCTGAAGATAGAGAACAATAGGTAGTAAAAACAAAACACAAAAAAAAAAAAGAGACTGATTAACTGTCAGGGATTTATATGCATATATTATAGCTTACGATCAGATATACATACGACTTGTATATGCAACTATACGCAGAGCAAATTTTATAAACGTTTTTGTTTATATTTCATTACATTTTTTTTTTTTTTTTGCTTTGTATTGTTTTTGCAATAATTTACTTACTCAATGTTGAAATAATTTATGGACAGTTTTTCCAAAACAAATGTTTACTGTCAAAAATGAAAGCAACTTGTATGGTATATATATAATAGATAAATGCATATTTGAAAATTTCCCAAAAATTATTTCATCTAAACTTACCCAGGGTTTGTTTTTTTAAAAAATTCTGCAGCATTAAGAAGGAATTTTAATAAGAAGTCACTGCTTAACGAAAATATACGAAAAATTTAATTTCATTCTTTATTAACAATGAGCATAACCACGTAATTGCGATTAGTATTAGGCCGAAGGAAATTTTTTGCTAGGCTCCAGTTGGGATTATATTGGGCCCAAGCAAACTTCTTGCTAGGCTCCAATTGCGATTTGCATTAGGCCAAAGTAAATTTATCATTACGCGCCAATTGCGATTATATTGGGTCTAATTAGATTATATTGGGATCAAGGGAACTTTTTGCCAAGTTACCATTGAGATTAGCGTTAGGCCCAAGGAAATCTTTCTGTTAGGTTCGAATAGGGATTATATTGGGTCCAAATAAACTTTTTGCTAGGCTCCAATTGGGTTTGTATTGGGCTCAAGCAAACTTTTTGCCAAGTTACCATTGAGATTAGCGTTAGGGCCAAGGAAACTTTCCGTTAGACTCCAATAGGGATTATATTGGCTAAGTTACAATTGGGATTAGTTATTAGACCCAAAGTAACTTTATGCTAAGTATTCGGTATAAGTTAATATTAGTATGGGTAAAAAGAAATCCATTATTTTTATATGAACTTTAGGACTTTATTTAACATGCTTCGGATTGTCCGATTTGGGTCAAATATGCACCGTTTTGTTGTATGATTTGTTGCCATTTTAAAGGTAACTTCAAAATGCCTCTCTCATAGAAGTCCTGGTCTCTATTTGCAAAAAACTCTAGTAGTCGATTTTCACAATCCTCCCTAGATTCCAATTTTTTATCATTAAAGAAATTTTGCAATGCAAGAAAAAGATGATAATCGCTTGGTGCCAAGTCCGGACTGTATGGCGGATGCATTAAAATTTCCCAACCAAGCTCCCGAAGTTTCTGACGAGTCACTGCAGATGTGTGTGGCCTAGCGTTGTCCTGGTGGAACACGACACCTCTCCTGTTGGCCAATTCTGGCCCTTTCTGGTCAATCGCTATCTTCAAACGGTCCAGTTGTTGACAGTCGAGCTTCTTTTTGAATTCAGCTTTGTGTAAATGGTTTAAAACTGTTTTATGGTCGATTTTTAGCTCCTGGGCGATGTTACGGCTGCTAACATGCCGGTCAACTTCGATCAATTCTTCGATTTTATCGACATTTTCGACGACCGGCCTACCTTTGCGAGGTGCATCTTTAACATCAAAAATTCCTGAACGGAATCTACGAAACCAAAACTGCACATAATTGGCTGTTACAGTATCGGAACCATAAACACCATTCACAATTTTAGCCGCCTGGCTTGCATTTTCGCCTTTGTCAAAGAAAAACTGTAAAATGTACCGAATTTTCTCTTTGCTCATTTCCATTTTTAACACGCTGTAACTTACAACTGAATGCACCAAACAAAAAACAGCAAAAGAATTTTTTTTACTGCGAAATGTCACCTTTCCAGCGAGCATAAATCTGAAATTGTTTGATCGATACTTTACGAGAAATCTACCAGTGCAGCCATCTACCGAAAAAATAATGGATTTCTTTTTCCCCAAACTAAAAAAAACACGACGCTCTTTTAACCATCGAGCTTTTTACTATTTTAGTTTTATTGCAGAAAGTGTAAATTAATTATTAAAGAGTCTTACATTACATATTCGCTCCATTCTATATCGTTAGAAACACAAACAAATAAACGAATATTGGAATTCATGCAATGTACGTAAGGAATGGAAATCTGCAAATAAAAGCCTTGCAATGGCTCCTAAAATAGGTTGTAACGTTGATTTATAAGAATGTTGTCGGATATATTCAGCGACAATTAAATATGAATTTTTTATTTTTTTTTCTTTTGTAAATAATACGGTACTCAAGTATAGAATTTCTATTTATTAATGGATATAGAATTTTAATGGCATTGTTGTGCCTTGTGTTTTTGATATGTGTAGAATGTGCGTGTGAAACATTAGCTTTTCATCCAGTAAAACTTCCAACTACTTAACGGGATCGGAAAAAGGGAATTTCATGACCTTGTATTGTTAAACCAGATAAAGGAAGGAGCAAAGCAATGGTTTCGTTTCCGACTAAAAGAGATGGCGCGCCTTGTTTCTTGCCTTTTAACTCATTTTCCATTTGTTTACGACAGTTGGGATCAACTATACAACTTGTGTAGTATTAACAACCAAGTTTATGCAATTAGTAAATAGTAATACCATTGGCCTATAAAGCAATGCGACAATTATTATGTTTTGGACAATTAGTAAAGGAAACTTAACAAAAAATTGGATCCAGAAAAGATCAACAATTCGAATTAATTTAACTTCGAGGAAACTATCAATTTTCTATCTTTTCCTAAATTAAGATCTTAAAATTGTATCCAAGGTGAATCAAGGTGAACTTTTTCCAAAAGTGAAATTGTAAAAATGTTATCGAATCCAGGGTCGCACCCGGATGCTATAACTAGAAAGAGAATAAGTAAATCTGATGACTTTGATTTGTCCATTGAGTAATGAAGCACTGCCCAATGAATGAGTGAATGGATCTTTCCTTTACCGTTTCCTATGCAAGCGTCGATCAATAATTCCCGGAACTAATTCATAAAAATCTCCTTCTAATAAGAATCTCTATTCTTTTTAGAAAGTACCAATGTGTAGTTGTAGTGCGGCTGGGTTACGTTATTGCCAACGCATTCTAAGATCCAAGTTTCATGTGTTGCTTTTTGATGGGAACAAATCTCTTTCAAACTCAGCGTCAACTTGGAATGTTATGAAAAGCCTTATCCGTTCAAAGGGCCAATTCTGTCAAGAGTACTTCAACTGATTTGAAACGATTAGCGAGCTAGTACTGTCACCGATAATGCTGAACGCAGCCCGTATACACCAGGATCACATTAAAGAGATCCGAGAAATTTTTACCGTTAAAATAAAGTGCATTTATTATCCTGGCAGGAAAAAAATTTCATCCGCATAAGTACCGCGCAGTGGTACAACATGATAGTTACAATGGTAAAACTGCGTGAATTGAATTTTCGAAACTTGGCGAAGGAATGTCATTGGTTGGGAAAAGGCCAATAGGATATGGAGTGTCTTAACAAATCGCTCCATAAAGAGGGTATCGAAATATTACAGATACCTTGAGCTAGAGAGATAAAGTAAAATTTGCTTCGTACTTAGTTATGGAAATGTTTCGGTTAAAAATATGTAGTAAGATTTTATGCCGAACCAATAGGTTTTTTGGGTCTATCTTGTCTATAAATAC